TTTTGTTATTCTTGCCTTTCTTTCTCTGTTGAAGGCCACAGTTCTTTAAACAATGATAAATAATTGCAGCAACTGACTCTGACCAAAATTTAGCTGACGCGTAAAAGCCCAATGGTGTTTCTATAACCACCTTTATAGAATCAGAATCACTTCCACAAACACTTTTCAAACTGTCTTGTTGTTGCATATAATTCCTCACCGAGATTTGCCGAGCTATGTGTGCCAAAGTCTGTTATGTGGCACCAGGCATCTATCGGACATGGCTTCAGCATGCATTTTGAAGTTGCTTTTTTTTGGTTCCCAGCTTAACTTCCTTTAAAAACAAATAAATCATGTCGGCTGTATGCTATGTTAACAATTGTAAACCACCAGGTTACGGGAGAGATTTAGTATAGTGTGATCTCCCTCTCGTCTCTGCCTCGTTCTTGCACCTGGATTTTAATCAAGCACCAGTTTTTAATGTAAATAAGATTGTTTTCTGAAAGCCCAACCTGCGAAGCATATCAAACAACTGAAACCCACTCTCTAGATGTAAAACAGAAGAGGCCCTAGGATGGAACTTTGGGGAACTCCACAGTATTTTTTGTCTGTTCAGATGTGAAGAAACCTACAGAAGACACAAAGTAGGTCCTGTTCTCCTTTGCCAGAAAGTCCCACTCGCTTATACAGTAGAAGACTATTTTCCTTCTGTATGATTTTGGGAGGTGCAGTTGTGTGTAGGAAAGTCTAGTTATACATGCTTCCATGAAGTAATGTGCTGATTTGATCATCATGTGACTTTGTATGTTTTAAGGTTGTTGTTTTTTTGTTATTCTTGCCTTTCTTTCTCTGTTGAAGGGCACAGTTCTTTGAACAATGATAAATAATTGCAGCAACTAACTCTGACCAAAATTTAGCTGACGCGTAAAAGCCCAATGGTGTTTCTATAACCACCTTTATAGAATCAGAATCACTTCCACAAACACTTTTCAAACTGTCTTGTTGTTGCATATAATTCCTCACCAAGATTTGCCGAGCTATGTGTGCCAAAGTCTGTTATGTGGCACCAGGCATCTATCGGACATGGCTTCAGCATGCATTTTGAAGTTGCTTTTTTTTAGTTCCCAGCTTAACTTCCTTTAAAAACAAATAAATCATGTCGGCTGTATGCTATGTTAACAATTGTAAACCACCAGGTTACAGGAGAGATTTATTATAGTCTGATCTCCCTCTCGTCTCTGCCTCGTTCTTGCACCTGGATTTTAATCAAGCACCAGTTTGTAATGTAAATAAGATTGTTTTCTGAAAGCCCAACCTGTGGAGCATGTCAAACAACTGAAACCCACTCTCTAGATGTAAAACAGAAGAGGCCCTAGGATGGAACTTATCCACAGTATTTTTTGTCTGTTCAGATGTGAAGAAACCTACAGAAGACACAAAGTAGGTCCTGTTCTCCTTTGCCAGAAAGTCCCACTCGCTTATACGGTAGAAGACTATTTTCCTTATGTATGATTTTGGGAGGTGCAGTTGTGTGTAGGAAAGTCTAGTTATACATGCTTCCATGAAGTCATGTGCTGATTTGATGTGACTGACTTTTTTTTTTTTTTTTTTATCTCAATATTTTGAGAGCAAAGTAACTCTCTCACCACCTCTCATTTTCTGCCTATTTGTCCTCCTCCTTCAGCTGGACCTTACACTTTCTATCTCCATTTTTCCACTGCTTATTCCCTCTGTGCCATTTGCTTTAATATCCAGGAAGTGTGTACTGTGCTATTGAAGCTAGATGAGATAAATGCATGGATTGCCATGAGGTCACTAGCAGAGCTTGCTTTGTCTCTCTCTCCCCCCCCACCTAGTTTTGTTTTTCATTTCCCTCCTTCCCATTGTATGCTTCATGTGTTCAGCTGTCCAACATTTTTTGAAGATGGATTAGAGTGCAAGAATAAACCTTGCTGCGTAAGCATCCAGTGTCCCCGTTCTTGGACCGTGCTGCTGTTCAGCTAAAAAAGAAAACCCCCTCAGAAGCCAAGACAGATGCTTAATATTAAGATGCTTTGCGGCAACTTTTATGCACTTTTTAAATCCCTGTTTTATTATATCAGAAAGAGAACGCAGCTCCATAAGAAGCTAAATGTGTATAGTGTCATGATTTGGTTTTATATTTTGTTGATTTTCTTGTTTTATTTTGTCTTATTCATCCCTTGTGTTTCCTAGTTTACTCTTTAGTGTTTCCTGTATTATTTTGTAATTTTGTATCCTTGTGTCTCTCTATGTTCTAGTGTGTATGACATTCTTAAGTTCTCTGTCCCCACGTCCGAATTTGAAAGTACCTACACAACATGTCAGTAGTCAGTAGACAGTAGCTACTATCTGTGCTGTATACTTTTGGTACCTACTGTTCAGTAGTAGCGCACAGTAGGCACATATTTGTTCCTACTTCGTCTGATTCATTCAGTATGGAAGTGCCGTCAAATTGCGTTTCCCGAACTGGCCGCATCCATCCTCGTTTCTTGTTTTTTTTTGTTTAGCCTTATTGAAGAAGAGTAATGCACATACACAGTCAGGTAAACAAAAACAGTATAACAATGTTAATCAAGTAAAAAACAGATTAAATAATAAAATAACATACAGTACATACAGGAAAGTACAAAAGACAGTATTACGCAGAATATGAAGTAAAATAAACAAATAAAGACGCATACATAAATATGGAAATCATTATTTAAATAGAGGTCTCGGGGGGGAAAGGTTTTATAATAATGCATACATTTGTTAATTTTTTTTGTTAATTAAAAGTAGCAATTTCAGTAGGGACTTTAACTCTAGATTAAATATTGATTCAATTAATCCATGCTCATTTTTATTAGAGCTGGGGATTGTCCACAACCTCACAATTTGATTCGATTTCAATTCTTTGGGTTACGATTCGATATTGATCAATATGCTTCGATATCAATTCAATATTACACATGTGAGAGAAATACCGAGATTACTACTCACAGTACCTTCTTATATTTGTTAAATAATTATATGTTTATATTTGTTTAAAACAAACCAACTCAAAAATGTATTTTATTATTGCATTATTTAATACCAAAAAAAACATAGTAGTACAGTATGATCTAAAGTGCAAAATTGTGCCTGACTTGAATTCACAGCACCCACAGTGGAGAGGGGGTCATTACAACGGAAAAAAATAAACAATCTCAGGATTTCCCTAAATAGATATTGAATTTGGAAAATAATTGCAATGCATTGATGAATCGATAGTTTTAACCAGCCCTAGTTTTTATATTTGGAGGTGCACGTGAAGTGACGTTTTACATTTAATTTCACACAGCATTGTGGGTGGTAAAATAAAATTAATTTCCTGAAAGGATGCATCCAATCCATACTGCATAAAACCTGAAAGTTAGTATCCATGCTGAAATGTTCAGTATACTGAGGTGGACCCAAAAAATGTGTACTGAATGACCACAAGACTTCAGTCTACTCCCTCCTGAAAAGTATGCACTAAATACTGAACTGTGGCTATTCGGGAAGCCTGTGTGTCATTAGTGTTCCCCGATTTATGTTGTAGTTCTTGTTGTGTTTCTAGTCTTGTATTTCTCTCTGCCTGTGTGTTTTCCCTCCAGTCTGTGTCAGTTGTCCCACCTGTGTTTGATTACCCCATGTCTATTTAGTCTGTGTTCCTTCCCTCTTGTTGTTAGTTTGTCTGACCAATTTCTCCTTGCGATTCCTCATGGCTCCCATAATTCTTTTTAGTTGGACTTTGAGACGCAAGCCTTGTTTTTGACTAACTTTTGGTTAAATATTTTTGTTCAGCTCTGCACTTAGATCCTCTTCTTTGTTTTTTCCTCAAAACATAACATGATTTATTTTCCTTTTGGGCTTCATTCTTTTGTTCTTTGTGTCCTCAATAAAAAAAGCTACTGACATCTAATAATTTAATCGAAATGATCATCACCATAAATTATTTCATGATCACTGGGCAGAGTTACTCCTATCACTACTTACAGGACTTTCATCCTCGGAATCACCAATTATGCATCTATTAGATACTTTTATGCTATTTGAACTAATGAATCTGAAATTTTTAAATAGAGCGGAAGGGGAAATGCAAGCATAACAAGGTTAAAGCTCATGTGAGGAACTTTCAATTTGTGTTGCTTTTGGTACCCTCTTTTGTACGCTGCTTTTGTCCTGTTCTTGTGTAAGTAGTGGTTTCATATAAAAATCTGATCTAGCTTTTTTAAAACAGTCAAATGTGCTGCATCTCTCAAAACATGTTTATGCAGTGTTTTAGGTGTAACCTTTATGTTAAAGGCTGAAGCTCATTGCAATCAAAAGTTAAATGAGGCATGGGAATCAAGGCAGCGAGAATGATTCCACTTCAAGGTTTTTATTAGCACAGGTTTTTTCCTCAATTTGTCAAGTGGTTTTTCCTGTTTCGGAGACAAAATATATCAATTATTGATTTGCCTCATTAACAAAATAATGTTCGATAATTCTCAACAGGCTCAGTAAACAGGATGTATCAATTAAACAATAAATCAAGTCTGCTTATATGCATCACAAACAAACATAATCACTAAACTCATTTATTCAAACAATAACTCACATGTGGATGTACTCGGCAAAGAAAGGTGGAACAGGTCTTGTCCTTTGGAGAGCAAACTGAGCAATGAGCTCACCTGGGAGACCTGATTTGGGGATCTGATTCACCTGTGACTGGTTGCTGCAGCCAGCACAGGTGATTATTGTTGCTCTTAATTGAGCTCAGGGAATCAAGGCAGACATGACATGTCAACATGCAGCATGCAGTTACTCATGCTGTCTGACATTTACGCTGCAACAGTAACTTTAGACCTTAAAATTACTAAAAAGAAATAAACAATCTTGAAAGGGATGGTAAGAGGTACCGATGGGACTAAAGAGATTTTTACAAATTGGAAATCGTTTTATCTCATTAGTCAGACTAATGGTTCTTAATTTCTCTCCATCCCCTCCTTTCTCTCTAGGATGAAAATGCGGCGGCACCGAGTGTTCTTGCTGTGCACAGTAGGCCTGTGTGTCATCTCCTTCCTGCACTACTACAAGGCCCTCCACTACGTTTCCCTGCTGCGCGAGCTCTCAGCCCCGTACCCCAACATCAAGTCTTTCATCATGGTCACCGGCTTCTTCTGGAGGGAGAAGGGTGTGTCTACAACCCCACTCAGCCCTGCCTCCCCTGAAGAGGCCCCTCCTCTACCCGGTCTCCATCAATCGGACACCAAAGCTAGAGCTGTGGCAGGTGCTGTAGGAGGAGGAGGAGGAGGAGGCGGGGAAGGGATGGGTCTTGGGATGGGGGGAGTGGTGGCTGGAGGTCCTGGAATTGTTGGAAGTGCAAGGCTTGAGATGAGGTTAAGGCAGGAGCCAGCACCCCCTCATCCTTGGGAGAAACCCGAGGAGAACCAGCGAGGAGACACTCCCAATGAGGTAAGAGATGTAACATAAGGAGTACCTACACTTTAACAAACAGAAATCTTTTTTTCTAAAAGTCCGCAGGTGGAGACTCCATTGGTTGCAAAAAAGAAGTTATACTGTAATACAATTGTTAGACAAACGAGTCTGTTGAGGCAGGACTTTTGCGCTTCTGTTATGCCTTGTTTTTAATATAAAATGCATGGTTGCAGAATGGTTGAATGAAGTTGTTTTCTGCTGAGTGGCAATGGAGATCATAACAGAGGCATAACATCACACCATTACTGTACACTAGGCTTGCTTGACGCAAATATGTATTGTGGTGAGGGGTTGTAGTGCACAGCACGCGCCAGCAGGGGTCAGCTCCTATGTAGACCCCCTTTACCGTGGCCTGTATGACTGCAGAGCTGATAGCACTGCTGGAAAGGTAACCGGCTATTATCAGAGTGGAGGAGGGAGACTTTTTCACATCATTTCTTTCTCATGAGTTCATAATCATGCATTTACAGAAAACATGGGTATATTGTACCGTAAATAAACCTTGTTGAGTGCTCTTTTCATTGAAAGAGTCCTATATTAAAGTTAAAGAGTGACCAGCGGAGTCTGGCAATGCGACTCGCAAGCTAGTGGGTCTGCTTCACAACAACTTTCACTGCAGGCTGAGCTCAACTACCGAACTGTAGCTAGTAGGAGTGCAAACTCCCAAAGTGAAAACAAATGGAACTAACAGAGTGACAAAACTGCACAGAAACTGCATGTTGTTGACAGTACTGAATACAATAGAAATTGTCACGCAGGAAGTGTAAAGTGTCCAGGGTGTCAAAGTGCAATATGCAAATTGGAATGTGTGGTGTGTGTAGTCACAGCTCTGTTTTGTTTAGTTCTGTTTATGTTTTTAACTGAGGAGAGTGGAATTAACAGTCCGGACAGCCTGAGGAAATAAGCTCTTCCTGAGTCTTTCTGTGTTCGCCTTGATGTGTCGAAGGCGCCTGCCAGAGGGTAGCCATGTAAACAGTCCGTTACCTGGGTGGTGGGGATCACTCATGATCCTGTTTGCCCTGGCTGTGCTCCTCCTTGTGAAGATGTCCTGGAGGGTGGGGAGTGTTGTACCCATGGTACACTCTGCTGACTTCAGCACCCTCTACAGGGCTCTTCAGTCATGTACAGTGCTGTTCACGTACCACTGGGTGATGTTTCCAGTCAGCACACTCTCCACCGCTCCGGAATAAAAAGTCTTCAGGACCTTCACAGAGACTTTGAATTTCCTCAGCTGTCTGAGGTGATAGAGGCCTCGCCCTCTTCACCTGACTGTTAAATCCTCAGAGATGTGCACCCCCAGGTACTTGAAGCTGCACACCCTGTCCACCAGTGTCCCATAAATTCTTAGTGGGATGTAATCCCTCTGCTGTCCTGAAGTCCACAATCAGCTCCTTGGTTTTGCTGACGTTCAGGAGCAGGTTGTTGTCCTGGCACCACTGTGACAGGTTTCCAACCTCCCCTGTATACATCTGCTCATCAATGTTGCTGATGCAACCAACAACCATCTGCAAATTTCACGATGATGTTGGAGCTGCTTGTGGCCACACAGTCATGTGTGTACAGGGTGAAGAGTAGGGGGCTGAGGACACAGCCCTGTGGTGCTCCGGTGTTGAGGGTGCAGGGGCTGGAGGTGTGTCTGCCCACTTTGACCACCTGGGCTCTGTTCGTCAGGAAGTTCAGGATCCAAGCACACAGGGAGGGGTTAAGTCTGAGGTTGATCAGCTTGGAATGGAGGTTGGAGGGGACTATGGTGTTGAAAGCTGAACTAAAATCAATGAACAGCAGTCTCACATAGTCCCCCTTCCTTCTGTCCAGATGGGTGAGGGTGGTGCGCATTACCTGGGAGATAGCATCATCTGTGGATCTGTTCAGTCTGTATGCGAACTGAAGTGGATCCAGAGCAAGGAGCAGCACTCACCTCAGAAGTCTGAGGAGCACCTCAGACTTCTGAGGTGAGTGCTACTGGGCGATAATCATTAAGGCAAGCTGGAGAGGCATTCTTCGGTACAGGGACAATAATGGCTTTTTTCAGGCATGTGGGTACCACAGACTGACTCAGGGAGAGGTTGAAGATGGTGGTAAACACTGGAGCTAACAGGTTGGCACAGGACTTAAGCACTCTGCCAGAAATACCATCTGGCCTGGCAGCCTTCCTGGTGTTTACCTTTTTCAGTGTCCTCCTCACGTCGTGCTTTTACACAGTGAGCGGGTGCGAGTGTGCCGCTCCGGCCTCGGAGATCCTGCTGGCTGCATCAATTGGCATGCTAACGTTAGCGGTGCTAGCACTGGAACTGTGATTCCACTTTGTCCCTGTACCTCCGCTTGGCGTCTTTCACTGCTCGTCTCAGTCTGTAAGATGCCGCTTTGTATTCCTCTGTCCTGCCGGTGGGAAGTGACAAGTTGTATGAAGCGGTCCGTTCGTTCACAGCGGTGCGTTTTGGTGCCGGCACAGCACGTCATGCAGGTCTGATAAAGTTGTGTCCGTGTCCGCTTGTGGTGGAATGTAAACAGATGTAACGATGACGAAGTGAATTCCCGGGGGGAGGTGAAATGGACGGTACAGGATAGTTAGGTGCTCCAGATATGGCGAGCAGGAGTGGGAGAGAGTTTTAATGTTCTGTGGGTTACACCAGCTGTTGTTGGTCATAAAACAAACCCCTCCACCCTTTGACTTGACCAGATTCCTCCGTCCTGTCCTTGCGAAACACAGAGAATGAGTCCGATGGTATGATGGCTTGATCCGGCACCACAGGAGATAGCCATGTTTCCGTCAGGCAGATGATGTTACAGTCCCTCATGTCCCGTTGGTATTTTACCCGACCCCTCAGATAATCCATCTTGTTATCCAGGGACTGGACGTTGGCAAGAAGAATGCTTGGCAGGGGTGGGTGGTGGGCCTGAGTTCTTAGCCTGTTTCGGACAACACCTCGTCTTCCGCGGTGCTTTTTCCTCCTCCAGGCATTGTTCCCGTCCTGTGTTGTGTTACGCAGGAGTTCGACTGGCAACCATCGTTGAAACAGCTGGAAACTGTGTTTGTGACCATCTTGATCTTTATGTCCAAAAGCGTATTTCGGTCAGAAGTTAACTTTGCTGAAAGAGCTGATGTACAACAAGGTTATGAACTGTGAATGCTATAGCTGCAACAACTGAAGATTTTTTTTTTTTTTTTTTTTTCAAATACCGTCATATGCCAGATACCGCGGTAAAATGGTAAGACGGTATGGTATTATGAAAAAAATGATACCACCCAAGCCTACTGTGCACATCAAAGCCTACAGGATAGTAAAGCTCTGTGATTATATATGAAAAGCCTGTGCTGTTGGTTTACAAGTTAGATTATTTTTGCTCTGTCAATGCTGAAAGGCTGTGTATAATTATATACTTGGACAGACCCCAACCCTAACCCAGGTTTTTTTCTATACAATAGAAACTATTATGCCTCCTTTTTAACACGTTTTTCAATTTATTTAGACTTAATAACTTCACTTCACACGAAACAAGCCATCTGATGCCTCAAGGATTAATAAAATTAATAAAATTGTTTAAAAATACACAGTACGAAAATGTGGCATTCAATACAGGATTATCCAGCTGTATCAGACTGATATACCCCTCAAACCTACAAATTCTACACAACTCCCAAAAGAGCTCAGGCATGTTGAAGTTGTTAAACTAGAAATAATCGGCCTCTCTGGCTTAGATTATGTCTCAGTTTTACGAGATCCTGAAAAGGTCTTAATGAGTAAAGCGTACATGATTTTTTAAAAAACATTTCAAATGATTTTTGTAAATTTCCCCCATCATGGATATAATTTGAAAAGAAAAGATGAATATTATTGATATGATCGTCCTTTTTTAATCACTGTCATCGCTGTTTTATCAAGCTGTGCCTTATTGTTTTAATATTCTTCCATTAATGTTCATGTCTCTTTGGAGACAGAGGAAACTGCTCTGTAATTACTCTTCAGATGTCATATGGCGGTCTTATATCTCCAATCAGCACTGACCTGTAATTCTTACGAAGTGAATGCTATCTTCCTGACGTTGTGATGATAATTATCCTACAGTTAATGCACTAGTATCAGTCTACTTGCCCTAATTCAACATTACTTTAATGTTTTCCACATGGTTACAGTAACACTTTACATTAGTGTAATTTGTAACTGAACTAGCAATCTTTGAGTTTTTTCCAATGACAAGAGATTCAATTTCTAATGATTAAGTCTGTTAGTTTTCCCTCATAGACCCACATTTCAGGCTGTTTTTTGTTGTCGAATTCATTTAATCCATTAGAATAAAATAAACATGTTGGAGGCTTTTATTTGAAATCCCCTTCTCTCTACTTTTTCTCTATTTCCAGGAAATGACTGAAGACCGTTTGAAACCCCGGCACCCCAGCAACCCAGCTCAGCCTGCCAAGCCTGAGCTTCCAGAGGTCCCATTTGCGGGACAAGAACATCGAGTGGTGTTAAACAGAGATCAATTTCCAGAACCCTTAGAAGCTTTGGGAGACCTCCACACCCGCACTTACCATCTCAAAGATGACAAAACCTCATACTTTGTTCGAACCAAAGCTGGAGCCCTTTGCTTCAGGCAGGGAACGGAGGTGGCTACCCCAAAGGAGTACTCTGGGAAGGCAGGGGGGACTTTGGCTAATCGAGCTGTGGAAGGTGCTCGAGCAGGGCAGCGGAAACCTCTGGAGGTTCAGCAGCAGCCCTCCCTGGCTCCAAAAGCAAAGGCCAGGGCCAGAGGCAACGGGAAACGACTGGTAAAATGTGTGTGTCGGCCGGGATGGCATGGACCTTACTGTGGGGTTCCCACTATGGTGTACCACTCTAATCTGCCCACTAAGGAGCGGCTGACACCAAGAGAGACCCCACGAAGGGTGATTAACGCCATCAACGTTAATCACGAGTTTGACCTGCTACATGTACGCTTTCACGAGCTCGCCCAAGCTGTTGATCTGTTCCTTGTTTGTGAATCAAACTTTACTGCCTATGGAGAGAAACGGCCACTAAGGTAAGACCCTTTTGGAGGATTATGTAAGTTATACACTGAGGTCAAGGTCTATTTCAGCAAGCTGTGTAATCTTTAACTGAGTTGCTCTGTGGCCATCAGCAGATAACAATGTGCCTGAAAGTACAGCATTGTACAAATAGGCCATAATGCTCAGCAAACTTTAAACTATATTAAATAGGTTAAAGAGTATCATACCAGGATTACACTTTCAGCACAGCACAGTCATGATAGTAATATATTATAGACCTCTGGGTATGTCATCATCAAGTCTTAATATAGATAGGCTAGTGTATTTGAGGTAACTGACAGAGCCCCTTATATTCTCTCTTAATATTCACATTAAAAAATGTATTGTTGCACAAAATCCTACTTTTTGAGAAGATGTGACGCTGTGTTCAACGGTGTGTTCAATGGTTAATGTTTACATCTCTCAAGTCTTTGTTTTTACTGCCATTTTACATGCTTATTGAGTATCAGCATGGTGAAAAGAAATTATAGTCGGTTCCTTTGGCAACTGCATGAAATGCCTTGGGGCAATTTTACAGTAGATAATGACAAGAGAAACATGATTGACTCTGCGTGCAGCCTTGGAGGAAGAGATTGGTGTGTTTAATCATAGAATTTGACACAGCATGAAGAGACAATGTTCAGTTAACAATCTCTTTCGCTATGCAATTCAATAGGTTAATAGAGTTGTCACTCCAGTCAGTTTGGCATATGGACAGTGCTTTTTTTTTTTTGCTGAAAGGTGTGATTTGTCAAACAAGGACTTTTGTTGTCAATGCTCTTTATCTTACATGCACTCTACACTCTTGATTTTTTTGTTTTACTCTTCATGAAGGTTTCTGTTCTATTCTCTACTGTATGAAAGCCCTGAACGTGTTTATCTTGCACTTCTTTGCAGTGAACATCAAGCCTCGAATACATATTTCTAAAGTCACTTCATAGTAGTAATAACAAAGTACATTGAACTTAGTCAGGCAATTTGGCCACGTTTCTGAAATGAGAATTAGCATTTAAACACACAGCAAAGACTAAAGCTGTAAGCCAATCAGCATGTAAACCCTAGCTCTCAATAAAAGTAAGTGGTTGTAGTCTTTAATCGAGTTATTAAAAAAGTGAAAATAAAGTTGAAAGATTGTAGAGATGTTTTAAAGAAAGCGTTCACACATCCAACTATTTCATAAAGTCAGTACATTGGAAGTAAAACTAAAGCCTTGAAACAAAAGAAGGAGGATATCCGATGGTTGAAGGTACAGTAAGGACAAGGATAAAAGATAAAAGCCAAGTGCTCTTGAAGAAGATTAACAATTAAACTTGAAGAAGGAAACCCATCAGGCTATCTTCAGGCACACGTGCTTGGAGACGATACAGTTAAAATGGATTTCAAATAAAAGGTAATATATCAATATAATTCAAAGACGAGCAGGAGGAAAACACCAACTGGTTTTGACCACACAGGGTCTTCTACAAAGACACCAGCCTATATTTACATTTAATGAACTTGGAGACTAACCAAAAAAGGCTATGATCTAAGTTCTATAAAGAAAAAAAGGAAAAAAGGGTATTATTTAGGAGAAATACGTCCATTGGTCGTCCATTCTCTCAGTATTAATAGCTGAATCAAGTGTCTTTTCCATAGTCCTCGTTGCTGCATTGTGTTCTGAATAATGTCCATTTTACCACTTGTCTTCTATCATACTTCTTGCAATCTCAAGCCATGTGTCAGTTTTTCCATTTTGAAGATTTCCTCTACTGTCTCTATTTGGTCCTACATTGGTCCTGGGCAGAGCAGTCTTCTCAACCCCACTTCGTTGTTTAGATTTTTTTTTCAGATTTCAGCAGTAGGTTTTACCAAATACCCTTTTTCAAACAATTCCTTCAAATGAATACAAATTACACAGATAGAATATCATGAAGCTAAATGTAAATGGGTTATGATATCCAAGTGTCTCTTGCATGAAATTGTTTACAATATTCCAAAATATTACATTTTTTCAGCATCATCCTGTATGTATGTGAATTACCTATGCTAGGACTCAACATTTTCTCCTGCATGTTAGACTCTTGTTGAAATACTTTCTTCTGACCTTGGGTGTAATTTAAAAAAAAAAAAGGATCATGTTTTTCTGAGAAATTCCCCTCCAAGCCGTGAATTGGTGAATGTTTGATGTGTTTTCCTCGTCATATCAGTCATCATCTGTTGTATCAAACTCTTGCATTAATTTTGCTTTCATATATTATACAGTGATTCCTTGTGCAATATGATTAGAAGTTGGTTTACACCATTCGCTCCTTGGCAGGGTCGTCTGTGATTTGGTTCTTATAGTAATCTCTCAGTTGTACATACTTATAGATATCATGCTTATCCAAATCAAATTTTGGAAACTATCCAAAACCCTATCCTTCTCTAAAGTATACCATGCTGTGATTCCCTCTGTAACCAATTATTTTAATCCTGTATCACAGCAAGACATTTGAAAATACTATCAAAGGATACCAACTTCAGCACATTAGTTTTTTTTCTTTAACTGAAAAATGTAATTGGGTCTACGATGTTATTTATTTCCTTTGCTTCTTTATCCCCAATAATGCTCTGAATTTCATATTCTCCAAACTTTTTTCCCATTTTCTTCAATTTTGCACTGTATTCGGGTTTGAACGGACAAGAAATATACCTTAAAGAGCCCATATTATGCCCTTTTTGGGGTTTGTATATTTAATCTATGTACCTACTTTTGGACGTTCACAATAGCTAAAGTCCGAAAAAAGTGTCTGTTTTCATGTACTGCTCCTCCTTGCTCCCTCTCTGCTCTGAGTCCGTCATGAAGAAGCCGCGTTTCCGCGGACTTTGAATTTTTGCACACAGATGTGCCTGAACATGCACAGGACACTTGGAAAACACACTAAAGGGCATATAAAACCAGAAAAAGCATAATATGGGACCTTTAACTTAGACTCATGAAAATATTTTTTTAGGTTTTGAGACACCCATCTGTCTTAGTACAATCAAATAATGTCCATCATAGGGGCAGGGTGAGACTCAGCTTAGAGTCCAGTTTAGATACTCTATTGGATATGACTCCAAGTTTGAAGAGTACCATTTATGAAAATAAATTATACCATGTCTGTCATTTCCCCAGTTTCCTCAGGCTACTCCTCAATGGTACGTACGACTACATACGTCACAAGATCCTGTATGTTTTCCTCGACCACTTCCCAGAGGGTGGTCGGCAGGATGGCTGGATCGCTGACGACTACTTGCGTACCTTCCTGACACACAATGGCATGTCTAGGGTGGTGGGCGTAAGAACAGATGATGTCTTTGTCATTAACGATGCTGATGAAATCCCTGCTCACGAGGGCCTTATTTTTCTCAAGCTGTTTGATGGCTGGACAGAGCCGTTCGCCATCCATATGCGCAAGGTACCGGTGATTAATTAAATCAAAGTATGGTTGTTCAAACTTTTTCACAGGAGAATGTTGGATAGATGTGAAGCATAAATAGATTCCCCTTTTGATATTAACTGAGAGGCTCTTTTTGCTTTGTTTCAAGAATTTTTAAAAACTTATGTAACAAATTACCTACATATTGTGCTTTTATCTGTCTTTAATTATGGTTTATTTTCTTTCCCACCATCTAGTCACTGTATGGGTTCTTCTGGAAGCAGTTTGGGTCTCTAGAGGTGGTATCTGGATGCACGGTAGGGATGCTTCGCGAGGTCTATGATGGCGATGGTATAAAGCTCAGACGCCGCGAGTATTACACCATGCCGGGTTTCCGCAAGTATGAAAACGACACAGGCCACATTCTGGTGCAGTGGTCAGTGGGCAGCCCCTTCCACTTTGCCGGTTGGCACTGTTCCTGGTGCTTCTCACCCGAGGGGATCTACTTTAAACTGGTGTCAGCGCAGAACGGAGACTTCCCGAGGTGGGGCGACTACGAGGACAAGCGTGACCTCAACTACATCCGTGATCTTATCAGGACGGGGGGCTGGTTCGATGGTTCCCTCCAGGAATATCCTCCCGTAGACCCCAAAGAGCACATGTATGCCCCAAAGTACATGCTGGAGCACTATGATAGGTACCGCTACCTCCTGGAGAACCCTTACAACAAAGCGTCTAGACTGAGTGAGGGCTAGGAGTTCAGCAGGCAAAAGCTATGTGAAACAACAAGTAGGGCCTGAGTGAGGCTTCAACACTGACTTTTTGGGGGCTAAACGGTACTGATGAACTACATCTCCTATTGGTGAGGTGCTCATGTAACTTCATCAGGCAGCACCCATGATGCAGGGATTAAAAATCTCTTCAAAATAATTATTTTGGGTTCAAAAAAAGAAACTGAATCTCATCCGTCATGGATTTATAAAGAGATCATTGCGAGGATACAACCACTGGATAAACAAATCCCTCCCCTTTTTGGGGGAGGAGCCAAGCTATCTCTCTTTTTGTCACCCTGCCTCCGTCCTCCCTTTCCTCATCCGAGCCAATAAGCCTGCTGACTGAGAGCAAGAGAACTCTTTGAAAGCAATGAGAGGAAAATGTTGCGGCCATGTAGACCCTGTGGAGAAAAGAAAATTGGAAGTGAAGGATTGTTTGTTTTGTTTTGTTTCTGTCTGTTGATTTTAGTTTACTGACTGGATGACGATCCCTCTTCACTCTCCACCTCCAAATGTCTTCCTGTCATATTTGATGACCTCATTCCAGAACCAGACATTTGGATATTTTTTCTTTCTCGCGTATCAGTACAAAATGATAAACCGTATGTAAACCCAGCTGGAGTGTACCCATTGCCAAATGAAAAGGAATGACTTGATGGAGATGTTTCATTTCATTCTTGCACTCACTCTCATCCACATGCACCTTACTCCCCTCTGTATGTGTGTTTGTTTCAAAAAAGTGCGAGTGTTATCCATCTTTGTATCATTTTTTTTTCAAGGCTTTGGGGTGTGAATTAGGGACAGGATCTGTGAGAAGAAAAAGGAAGCAAGCAAGAATCATTACGGGAGAAGACAGGGAGACCAACAGCACAAGTGAGACGGAGAGAAACAGTGATGTGTTAGGTATAGAGCTTGAAAAGGTAGGAAAAGGAGGCTCTCTCGATGCCACCTTTCCCGCAACGTTGAGTGTTGCAGGGATGACTGTGCAGAATGTATGCTCCCCTCTGGCAGCTCTGAAGACATCATGGTCTATCGATGGCATACAAGACCGATGAAACTCGTCGTTATTGTTTGTCCAATGAGAACAACCGGGACCAGCTGGGGGAAAAGATCGGCCTTCAGTTTTTGTCTCTCGGTTTATCCAGCAGCTGAGATGAGGTGACTTTGTTTCCTTGGAAACTAAAATAGGAGATAGATGGGATGGTTGTTTTTAAAGATGAGTGGGAGGGTTCACGTCAGACGAAGAGTTGCAGCGTTCAGAAGAGGTCAACTTCGACTGTAGGTCCGCCTTCGTTAAATATTATTTTTTCCTGTCATCTGTCAATCACAGTCTATATGAAACTATTTTTCTGTCTCTTTTAAATTTGCTTTCCTTTAATTGCAGTACCTTTTTTTTTTTTTTTTTTTTTCCCTGTTTTGTTGTTTGTTTGCTCTTAATCGTGATCCAGAAGCATATATATTGTCTCCCTACAATTTATTTAAATTCTCTCCTTCTCTGTCTAAAAGGTTATAACCTCCAACTTTCCTTCACACTCTCAATCCATTTTGGATGTGTATCTAATTCCTCTTAATCCTCTCAAGTATCCCACCCTTTTTCAATAATAGGGTGTATTTATCATCTCTCTGTCTCATTTATATGCCCCCGTCTCAGGACAGAGCTGGGCAGGGTTACCAGGAACCATGATGATACCTTCCCTGTGCACACAGATCACAATCATCTAAACATTCGGGCATGAGTGCTCATGCCTCCCGCCTTCTCTGTGCCATAAGCGGCTGTTGATGTGGCTGAATGCCTAAATCCCCACCCGCATTGTTTGGCAGAAGTTTTTGGACAACTTAGTGAGCATATTTTCCCTCTGTGGGTGTGTGTCATGTGGGCTTGGTGTGTGGGGGCGGCTTGGTTATAGTCATGTCAAGGGCAAAGGAATGATATTATCAGAAGACTGTGAGGAAGGAATTAAATTAGCTAATGATGCAGCAGACAAGTACCAATCAAAGAGGGATTGTTTTCTTCTTTGATTATATATTGACAGCATCCACCATCTGCTTCTTCTAAGTCTCTGTGGGCTACTGTTTACCTCAGCTTCGGGCTAGATGCTGTTTCAGTGTAAATAGCTCCTCAAGAGAATATCAAGTTTTTGCAGAGGTGAATTGATAACTTTCTGAAGGATGATGATGGGACTGTGCTATGTGTGCTATGAAGCCTGAACGCAAAACTCTTTAGTTTTAATTTTACTTTGAAACAGGACAGTTGTGCAGAATAATTGAATACAGAATCCCTGGATGCTCTTCCTTTCCGTTTTCACCAAGCTTAAAGTGTATTTTACTGTTATGTTAAACTAAAGCTTTCTCAGTTATCATGTAGTCAATATGCAAAAACCTTTATATTTATCAGAGAATGAGTAACAGATTGGCACATTCCTGGACAGAATTTTTTTTTTACAATTTCAAAAGAAAACATGTAAAAATCAAATCACAAGCAAACATAAAGACGCTCTTATTTTCAACTATTGAAAAGCTCCTATTGTCACAGCATGGTAACGATAGACATGATAGGAATCCTGTAATTTGATTTATTCCATAGCACCATGTCCTAGTGGACGAATCCTATCTATCAAATACCACTTTAACGATAATAACTTTTATTTCTATGGCCCCTTTTCTAAGCAAGGTAACAAAGTATACAAAAACAAAAAAGATTAGAAGAAAGCAGTTATAATGAACAGATGGACAAAAAAAGATCAGTTCTCCGCTGGAAGGCCATCTTTAAAAAGATTCCCTTATAAGAATCAGGCATGCACCGATGCATTGGTTTGACATTGGTATCCTCTGATATCGGCTGTTTTGACAAGCATCTGCCCATCTGCAAATAATGTGGCATGAACTGATGTCTGTAGCTGATGTTGTATCAAATCAATTAAATGCTGGCATCTAGTACACCTAACTACTGATTCGGAGAAAAGGCTTTTTATTGGGCAGAGCAAGTCACCTGTTGGACAAACTCTGATCTGTTTTCATCATCAAATGTGTAAGAAAATGTTGGCAGTGTGGGAGTCTTGCATCAAAAGAGGTGCTGAAAAAAACACTTGTATCGTCCATTGGCTTTCTAAATCCTATACAAAATAGTTTTTAGATAAAATGTAAAAGGTGTCACTTTAGTTGAAGTCGCTAACAGTGCTTAACACTAGAAGACAAAGGAGTTTATTTGAAAGTTTAGGTGACCATGCTGTGACAATGAATGCCTTTGGTTGTTCAGATAGTGAGTGAATTGGAGATTTCCTGTGATTTAAACCTTAGAATGTATGTTGAAGACCTAAAATTGAAGTCTGTATATCCGTCTTATGATCCATGAACAAGCTGGCTCTTCATTGGTTTGAGCTCAGAGTTGAAGACGTAGATTACCCAACAGGCCTCTGACAGTTGTGAGTCTGTGCTGTTGCTGCCTCGATGGCAACGTGGTCTGCGGCAGCAGCTGTTCGGGGTTTTGGTGTTGAGATCCAAACTACCGTCTAACCCCAGAGGGGCCACAAAGAAACGAGCTTGAAATAGGATTTGACATGAGGCAACATAAGAGACGACAACAATGGGGAATGAGATGCTTTTTTTTATATTAAATTTGATTTTCTACCCTTTAAAAAAAGATTGATAATGATTGATGTAGACAATAAGGGAACAGAGGATGGATTTTAAAGGGAAAGAGTTCTAGGTTAACTATAACCTTAAATTATTTAATTTGATGTCAAATACAACCCAAAATGTTTCTTGTTCTCTCCAAATGTAACAGCAGCATGCGCAGAGTAGACTCACTCTAACAGTAGAAAGAAAGTTTACCCTCTGATTTGCACACTGCTGCATGCAAAGAAAAATGTTTTTGCTTAATGGCCAAACGTCATCTGAAATGTAGCCACAGGGGTGTCTGTTCAATCCCATCAAGATGTGGGGTGTGTGTATGTGATTGTGTGTTTGTGTTCAAGCTCTGCCAAGAGGCATTAAGCAGAGTTAACTCCCAACTCTCTGCCTTCTGCAATCAGGCTGCACATCTGGTCAACTGCATGAGTGTGTGTGTGTGTGTGTGTGTGTGTGTGTGTGTGTGTGTGTGTGAGTGTTTCTGTATGTGTGGGTATGTGTGTTTGTGCATATCTGGATGTATGCTTTGCACTTTTTTGTGTGTATGTGCGCAACAGAGAAAGTGATTCAAGCCAGATAAGGGTGTCTGGCCCACTGAAAGACAAGCCAGGGCTACTTCACTCTGTCACTTTTCCCATTATTGCCATGGCAACAAACCTCTTGATGACTACCTGACATCCTCAACTCATCTACTGAGATAGGAGATCAATAGGATGAAATATGAGGAATAGTAGAGAGAGAATTATGAGAAAAATCATGAAAACAGTTTTGTTCCTTTTTTTTTTTTAATTTACCTATACAACCTACATTGAGTAAAAAAAAATGCAAAACCTCATTTGGTTTAACTGCTCAGTAAATGTCACAGCACTGCAGAAAAAGGACTATAATCACACACACGCAGCACACATTGTAAACCAGCACACACTTCTTTACTTTTTTATGTATTGTTAAAAGGGAACATTTGGCAAGAGGAGTGATAGGAATACATACAAACAAAAACATTTAAATCATAAACCAGGAATGAAACATGAATGGGATTATTTTTCTTGGCCTAAGCAAAGACAGAAAACAAAAAAAGGAGGGGGGACGATTCTACTTCAAATAAAGCCAAAACTTGATAAATGGAGCCTAAAAGTCCAAAAAGACACATTTCTGAAATAATCCTTCCATTGCTGTTTGTCATGACGCACTTATTGAATGAAGCATGGCTGTGACAAGAAGAAGGGGATGGAGGTAATCAGCTGGACAGAACAAACTTTGATTTTTCACTTTGATGAGGAAAAGCCATCACAGCCATGAAATGAAAACGCTCCAAATGTGTGGTGGCAGCTCATCATCCCAGTTAGAGAAAATCTATAAACCTGTGACAGTTAAAGTGAAAACGAGGCGGCGTTGTACGATTTAAGCATTGTGTGCTCCACCTCACTGGCTCATAATAACTGTAAATGTTTGATGGCCAAATGGGAGGCACTTCAGCAGAGGTTTTAAAACTTGAAGCTGGTGAAAGCCACCATATATTATGTCTATATAATATAGGGTCTTGTGTACAAAATTGTAAGCATATAAAATGTTTTTCACATGATACAAATGTTAAATACTATCATTTAACCTTTGGAAACTTGACTTGAAAAAAAACCACCCAGCTGCTAATAAACCGTCTATGTTCAGAGTAAGCTTCATCCATTAAGGATAAGGTCGTACTGGTCACTTCAGTCCCTAGCCTACATTGGGCCAGTGACATAACTGCAAAGCTATTCTGCGCCCCCAGATAAGAAAAAATTAAGTCAGATTTCTCACTCTACATTATATCATATAAATAAAGGCTCATTGATTTAATATATCTTACAAAGAAGAACTAAAAAGGTATGCTCCAGAGATTAAGATACTTCCTAAAGCACTTAAACCTACATTTCCCATGATGCAACCTAAAAGCCACTTTGTGATACACTTTCCCCTCTATCAAAATTCAATAACCCAAGTCATTCTAAAGGTTTTAAGATATTGATTCGTAGTTTCCATGTATTTCACACTGAGATAGCCTTGATGACATCAGAGTCATACGGGCCTCTTTTAATACATCCCAAAACTAGACAGCTTTGAAAACACAAAATAAGAACAGTCAGTCTAATGTGATCACAAACAGCCCCTTAATAGTGAGCCCTCCCACTTCTCAGCACACACTCTAACCATCAGCACATGTTAGGAGCATTCAGAATGCTTGTGTCTATGTGTGTATCCCACACAGATGTGTTTCTTTAGGGGTGTGTTTCTCCACACCATCTCAACCATCACCCCCCCCATCTGTTGTTGTGCTTGGCAGAGTGACTGACTTGCTGCCTGTCTACACGGTTTTACATGCCTTCATGGCTCTGTCCCCCTGCCAGCCCTGTGGCCCCCCACCGATTGATCTTTTCCAAGAAACATTAGAGTCGGGCCGGCCGGAAATCAAGGAGGGGGGTGTGGGGGTACGGAGAAAGGGGGGGTCATTTTACCAGGGTCCCTTAGAGAAGACTTTTTTTTCTGTGTCTCAAACTAAAGTCTGGAATGTGGAAAAACACGAAGAAAAGGTTGAACATTGAAGGCAGATAGTGATAGAGTTTTGAATCATACTTAAGCTTTAAATTAAGTACTAATTGGTTCCAACACACGCCTCCATTATTACCACAGCAACAGAAATGTGATGCTGTGTCGTCTTGGCTGTAAACATGTTGTTATTCTGTTTGTGTAAGCAATGGAAAGCATTCACATTCCTCAAGCTGAGCGATCACATTACTTCCAACAGCTGCAACGGTGTGTCACAACTGATACTACTTATCGCAAAACAAGTGCAGCTATTTAATCTTCTGGTTTGTGTTACAGAAAGTTCAGGGATAGATTTGTAAGGACAAGACAGAAAATATAATGTGAGTCAACTTTGTGGCAAACATTTTGAAGACTCTTGTGAACTCCCTCATCCAAAAGACGGGAATAGATTTTTACACTCGGTGCTTACAACATTGCAAAATGACACTTGGCAACTCTGTCTCCTAGAAAATATATATGTGTGTGACTAAACACTTTGTAGTTTAAAGAAAAAAACACCCTTATGGACTATGCTAGACTTGAAGGGCGGATCTGTGACATTCCAGTTCACATACAGTCCTGTATTTGTAGTTTTTGTTAAGGTACTGGAAATATTGCAGGCTTGTCTTGTTTCAGATACAACCACACAAAATTAGTCAATTTAATGTAAGTACATGGTGAATCATAAAACTTCCCTTTTTGGTGGAAAAACGATTTAAATAAATAATTCAACTGAAGCATTCATTATCAACATTTTCTAGACTTGCCAGCCATATGAATTTACATTTTTCATTATGTTTATTGAAAATGTAATCAGGTCAGTATTTTGTGTTCAAGAGTTTTACTCTTGTACATTCGCTGCATATGTAATTTTTAAGAGACAGCGTGTTATTTAGACAAAAGACATTATATTCACTTCTATTGTATTCTAGTGGTGGCAAATATTAGAAAAACTGGCACATCAGTCCAAAAGTATTTGCATGTGTGGACACCATTAGAGGTAAGCGTATTCATCTGGGGGTTTTTTTGAGTGCAAAACAGGAAACCTCACAAAGTTGGATCACTCCACTGAGAACTAAAACCTTATTCTTGTGTATGTGTCTTTAATGAGTAAGAGTTGGGCATTGTCCAATTTTCTTTAATAAAGCTGCCGTCTTGTTTAGAAGTAGGGGTGGAAAATAATTTGCCCTATCACACATTGAAATGGGTTCTAATTCAGGAAGAAAAGATTTGGATTAAGCAGCAGTTTAGAAGCAGCAGGGAGATGAAACAGAAAAACATGAACATGAAATGATGAGAGGATTTTGCCTCCTCTGTAAACATGTCATGCTAAGTCTGATGTATGCATTTGGTATTTATAGCAACATAAAAGAGATGTATGTATTTGTGAGTCAGAAGTCACAACCATTCTGAATCCAGGACAGATTCTTGGCTTCAGGGGTCTGTGCGGGACAATTCTGCTCCACAAGTCCGTATGTTGTGACAAGGCAGATCAAATAGATGAGAGTTAGTGTGGTGCTGCAGAGACAGATGGATGCAGTGACACAAACATGCATGAAACGGGCAGGCTGACACCTGGCTGCAGATCAAATGCCACCAGAATCTGGAGGAAAGCGATCAGTGTTTGATTGTGTTGAGCTATGAGACTGAACATACAGTGTGTGGACAAACCTAACAACATAATTTTGCCTAGTTTTTAGTTTTAGGCTTGATTTCCATGGTGAACTCATGGACTGTATAACAAGATGGACAGTGCATCTCCAACTCCTCCGTTCTACAAAAGTGAAGTGAAGTGAAGTGAAGGGACAGGCACTTCATATTTAGCATTTGGAGCCAGAGGCTGCACTGTATGGATCGGCATGAAGAGCCTTGGTATTGACATCACTACACTTTCACTACGAAAACAAATTTAACTTACAGATAAACTGGCCAAGATCCCTCAGATCAGTACAGTCCACAGCAGAATAGATTCTTGTGTCGGACTGAAACAAACCATTACAGTAATTGCAGTTCAATGACTGGTGTTAGTGGTTGTAATGTTCCTCTTTCATTGATCTTCTACTCTGTTAATACGGTGCACAAAGCGCTGCAGGAGCAGCATCAAATCACATAATTCAGCTTTATAATAACTTTAACCACGAATGCAGTTTTGAGAAAAGTAAATATGCAAGTGTTAGTTAATCTATTAACATAGGGGAGTCAAGATTTATGATCTATACTGCAGAAGTGGGAGCTTTAACTATGTTGGCTTCACTTCAGACACATAGTTTCACTGTCCATTCGTTATACAGTCTATGGGCTAAACCAAGACGTGTCATATATTTTCCACAATTCGATCAAACAAAACTAGTTCTCTTTAATGCCCCCTGACTTTTTAAAGCTATTTGTGAAGTACTTAACCTCAGACATTTCCAAAAATATTTCCCCATCACATGAGTGTGCTCTGTCACAATTGTGGTGAAGTCCCAGAGAGGTTGGGGAGATGAGCACAGAGCATTGTGTCATTCTTAAATGTTGCTTGTGAGTGGGCAGAGGGCCATCCAACCATTTCATTGGGTCAGATTATTTATTTAAATTTATTTTTCCAAGCATTTCAATGTTTTGAAGTGAGGATGAAAAGAAACTGCAAAAATTACCTTCACATAACATTTCTTACCCTTTCTTTAATGGATCTTATCTGGATGTTTTAGTCACATTTCAGGAATCAGAATTTACCAACAGTGGCCAAACACCAAAAAAAACATCTTCTGATTCTAAATCCTAATCTGTGCACAGAATCACTATCCTCTTGAAACCAGCTAGAAAGCAAAGAGGGAATAAAAGCAATTTCAAATGTAAATAGAAAGATCTTTCACAACCGCAGAAAACGGTGTGTTTATTTGAGATCCCTTCAGTTATAATACGAAGCTGGTTGTGAAGATATTTTCAAGGCCTTTGAGGGGGCTCCATATTTCAGACTGTGTCTAACTTTGTGGTCACAGTTTGGGGAAGGCCCTTTCCTGTTTTTTGCCCCTGAGGCCATAAATGAGGTCCATAGAGAGATAATTTCCCTAGTTTGGTGTGGAAAACCTTGGCTTGCACAAAGCCTTGACCTCAATCTAAGCCAACACCTCTGGGGTAAATTAATAAAGGCTCTTGTGGGAGAAAATTGCTGCAGCCTTGTGGAAATCCCTGCAAAAAAAAAAAAAAGTGTCAGCTTTGAAAGTTTTAGAATGTAATGAGATGTTTATGATCACACATTGGTGTCATTTTCAGGTGTGTCCAGATTCGAGTCGGTGAACTGTTTTTATTTCCGTATTTAAATTTTTCTGTGCCTGTGTGTGTGATCTACTTTGAAACTGGAGCTCATTATCCCTGCAATGCTCTGAAACTCGTCGTCCCTCAGCTGCCTGACCTGAACAGAAACTGAGGCATAGAGAGAGAGAGAGAGAGAGAGAGAGAGAGAGAGAGAGCGAGAAAGAGGGGGTGGCAGGGTCAGACAGAGGCATAAGAAGGGAAGAATAAGAAGTTAAAAAAGGAGGGGAGAGCGAGAGAGAGAGCCTCCAGAGGGGATTCGATTCCCCTGCAATATGAAACAGAAACAGAGATGGAGAGAGAGAAAAATCGACTGATCTTACAATCACAGACATCACTCTTGGTTTTGCACTTTTTGCTTTTTTTGTGAAGTCAATCAATGTGTCTTTGCTTTTCTTTTTTTTGCTTTTTTTTTTAAGTTTTGATTTTGGTGAAAGTCTGAGAAACATGGAGGGGGACTGGGGTGTTTTTTTCTTCTCTGTTTTTCTATTTAACTTTGTTTTTGTCCTTTTTTTTGTAACTTGGTCCACTTGGCAGCTTGATATTTAATGTCTTTTTAAGGCGGTGTATGTGAGTGAATGTTTTTGTGTGTGGGCTCGTAAGCACTGTCTCAGCCTACTGTTAGAATAGACTTCCACTCCACCTCACACATCTCTTACCTCCTTCAAAGCCATGAAAAAGGGGACTTCATATTGTGGTGGCCATGTTTGTTTTTCTCTCTGTAACTGTTTGTTGTTCAGATGACATCATGGTTTCCTTGTGACTTTTTCAGCATCACAGAACCACTTCTTCAAAAGTTGCTCCTTGTTTGAAATGTTTGAAGGGATTTTGATGATTTTGATCACCTTCACACACAAACAAAAACAAAAACACACACAAACAGTATAGCCTCTTTTTATTACTGTGCTCTGATTGTGTCCTCCGCTCGTCACACAATCACACTACTGTAGCCGCTCTGTTTGTGCCCTCGCTGTTATGTGATCGCTATGAAGGCTTGCCATTGTGCCACCAAAAAAAAAACAATTTTGTCGTTTCTCAGCCACTTAGAACCGGTTTGGGCCAGAGCCCGAGAGGAACGCGGAGAAAAAAAAAAGTTATTTAAGCCCTTATCTTTTGTTTTATGTTTGGCGGCTGTCTGACTGCAAACTGATGCTGGTTTGATTCTTTTTTTTTGGTTATTCCCCATCTTTTCCTCACCCTTTACTATTGATATCCACTGTTTAAGAAAATACTTTTTGCAGCTTAAAAACTGAAACATTCTGCCTGCAAAACTATGAATTGCACCTTAATGGAGTTTTTTTTTTTTTTTGCTTACCTAAAAATATCTAATAACGGAGGATGTATTGGATTATTTTTACTTGTGATAAAAGATGTAACTGTAAATGAGTCAGGCATTGTATTGTGTCTTCAAACAGGGTTATGATTTTGCTTGTTAATGTCTGTTGTTTTCATAATTGATTCATTCACTGGTGTTTGTTGTGGGACGGCTTCATTAAGCAACTTCTGAAATGAAGCCTCATACTGTTGAACATGTAAACTGACCTTTCTACATAAAACAACAACTTCTGAGGTTCAAATATTGTTAAAAATGATCATTTATCTCAATATTTGATGCCATCTATCTTAAAGTAGTTGTCCTTAAACATTTATCTTTCAGGAAGCCCTTTGAATAAAAACAACTTTTAAGGCTTGAACCAGAAACAAGTTTGGTGTGACTAACACTCTATTTTCTGCTGCTTAATGAAGCTTATTACACACACACACACACACACACACACACACACACACACACACACACACACACACACACACACACACACACACACACACACACACACACACACACACACACACAGTGACCACTAGGGGGCATCCTGGTTATTCCATAACATGAAAACAAAAACACAAACACTGATGCTGCCTTCCGTCCATCTTGTCCTTGAAAAAGGACAAATAACTGACATGAAGACCATGTTGCATAAACACATGCAGTTTTTTTTACACACTCACACACATCAACAGTACAGCCTTGACAGACGACTGGCATCGGGCATGGTGCTGCCACCCGGTCTCATGTCCCCGGGGCAGAGTGCTGTCTGCAGCCAATTAACCAACAGGGCCGGTTGCCAGGTCCATATCCATCTAATCCTCTCCTCCCTCCTGCCATGTTGCCAGATTTAGACCTCCACTTTTTTACACTGCCTTTTGTTGTATTGAAACATATAAAAACGTTTACAGGACTGGGTTTGGGTATGTTTTTTTTAGTTGACCTAAATGATCTGATCTGTCTTTATCTACTTGTGCAAACACCTGACGTATAAAAAACAGTCCGATTTTTGTAAGCATTTTAAACATGTTTGTTGAAGCTGTCAGGAGACGACATAGCAGGAAAAAAATAAAACGTTTCTTTTGATTTTGGCGCCAAAGCTACATGAGTACATCCTATTCCTGAGATATTGTGTAAGACCACAACCTGTATCCCCTGCCTCCCTCTGTCCCCATGCACTGATAATGATTGTAAATGGTGGCATAGTTTTATTTTTTTATATTATTGTTAGGGCTTCATTGTTTCTGGGATCTTTTATTATTTTGTGATTTTATTTTGAAATTGTTTGATGGGTCTCTATAACTTCTTTGTGGGAGAGTGTGTGTGTATGTAATGTAGCTTACTGAATGTGTGTGAGATTGAGAGAATACGGAAAGGTTGGTTATGTCTGGGTTTTGTGGCTCGGTGTTCAGCTCCTAATGCACAACAGCCCTTTGCCTGTCTTCATCATTGTGCCAGTGTGTGTTCAGATGTTCCCTCGCCTCTGCATCCGCTCATCCAAATGAAAGACAGAGAGCAAGAGAGAGTGAGAGATAAAGGGAGGAAGAGGCAGCAGAGGGCATTTTCCCTCAGTGGAAAATACACAACTGAGAAAAGATACTTTTGAAAAAAGGATATTTTTCTCCTCTGCGGGGTCACAAAGAAGAGTGTACATTTCTAAGTTAATTGAAAATGATGAATAAAAAAACTCATTTGTTCTCTATATGAATGGCTGTATGTTAACCATGAACAAAAAGTAATGAGTTCTATGACAAAGACATATAATAAATTAATTTGAAAATTTTAATACAGCTTTAGGTGTGTTTATTTAATGCATCAGTTGTGGTTTTGTGTATGTGTGCGTGTGTGCGCACAGTGTGTCTAAAATGCAGTAATTTGCATCATCTGTCCCTTGTGTCACTAGAGGGCAGCACTGCAACACACATCATTAAATATTATGATGCTTCAATGTGCAAAGAAAAAAAACAAATCTACAGACAATATTTAAAAATGTTATTTTTGCGTATTACAGGTCATACTTTGAGCATTACAAAAATGTGTAGCATTAAAAACACAACTTCTATTCATAGCTTACAAATATGCAATGTGTCACCGTTCGTCAAAAACAATGGAGGACCCAAATACAGAAACTAAAGAATTTATTTCACTAAAAAGGCAAACAAAGGCTTACGCTGTAAATGTCCAGGTATCAATCTAGGTTCAAAGAAAAGTCAAAATGGCAAAACAACAAGGAGAAGTTTAAGGGATGACACATGACAAGAGGGGAGAAACCAGACAAAGGGAGGAAGTAAGACAAGACGAGAAACACTGGGGACAAGTTCTACAAAATAAAACAGGAAACACTAAAGACAAGACTAGGAAACATTAAAATAAAGAAACACACAAGAGAAACAAGCAACGACATGGAAGAATAAGACAAAATAAAACAAGAAAGGAAATCTATACTCTCCAAATATACAAATCTAAACGAGACTAAATCATGACATCATGTTGTGAACCTTGGCTTTCCGCGGCTCCCTGGGATGTGCTGTATGCTGCTGCACACCCATAGTTGATAGTTTGGCCTTGCTTTTTATCACTGATATGGAATTCTAAAACTGAGCCAAGGTAATAGAGAACATTGTACTTGTCTCCTTGGACATATCTGAAAAACACTATAATTTAGCTTAAACAGTGTAGAGAGGGATTACATATCTGCTAAAGAGGAAAAAAATATTCTGTGGGTAAGACCATCAAACTAAATACAACAAGAGCAATGTGAGAAAAAAACACATGCACACTAAAGACCTTAGTCCATGATATGAGATAGAGTTAATGTCCATTTTGAGTGCCAGTTCAGTCATAAAGGAGCAGGGTGTAACAGCTCCCAGCCCAGTCACACACACGAACAAGCGCGCGCGCACCGATAATGTTCTGCTGCTGTTTTCTTGTGTCCTGGAGACAAAGAAGAACAAACAAAAAGATCATAAATATTTTTAATGAGCACACACATTAAGAAAATGTAAACAGCTACATTCATAAAGATATGGGACAGGCGTATGAGAGCAGAAATAGATACAGAAATATGCACACTGATAAAAACAGGTAAATATGAATGCTGCCAGGTGATCATGGAGAACAATCAGGTGATATTATATGGATTAACTGGTTGTTTATCCACATAATGGCATTTGGTTTTTCCCATTTGAGATAAGCAGCATTAATGTTAAAGTGACTTCTTGTAAAACAGTGTCAGAGTTTGCTTAATAGTCACACATTAGTCCACCCAAAAAACACGAATGACACATCTTTCACAAAATCCTTCTCTGGATATGGAGGCTGAATCATGTTGTTTTAGGTCAATCTGACTCAGTATTCCCTCTTGTTCCCTCACCAGGCCAAACTATCAGCTTGCAAATGACACAACATATTATATGGCATTACAATGGTGCCCATTAGAGCTCTATAGCCTCTAATGGGAAGTAAATTAAAAGGAATGAACCTGATCAATTTGCACATGCAACCTTCTTTAAAGAGCCCTCATAGAAGTATGCTGTAGAGACAGAAAACATGTAATGAAACACGTTGAAATAAAATGAGTTGAGCTAGAGTATGATATAATGTAAGCAAAGAGTGACACCTGTTGCCCAGAGATTGAAATCTGACACTGGAAATTAAAACATGTTGGCTTACATACTTTCTGACCTTAAAGTTATATTTGCACACTGAAATTGTAATTAAATGCATGAGCACATTCATTTCTAAACTAGCAAACATCATACTACCATGATCCAGCTTAAACATAAGATCCACTGAATCATTAAAAATGTTAGGTTCCTGGACTGGGCCACTCAAAATGATCTTTTATGTGCTTCCTTTATAACCAAATAAATGTGTCAGCTATCATTTGGACCATAAGCAATGGCATATTGATAAAGAAGAAATGTTACAAATTATATGTTTGTTTACAAGCACTTTCTCTTACTTTACCACCTGAGACTACTTTGCCACTTTACCCCGAGAAGTTAAAAAAGGTATTACTGCAGCCAAAACTTCAGGATGTTGATTGTGCTTTTTTAACTTTTTTTGCATTGGAAAACTGTTAAAACATAACTGTGTGTGTACACATTTCTAAGTCATTCCCCTTAACAGAAAGATTACATCTTACAAAAAAACTGTATTTTTTTGTTTTGTATTGTCATTTTCTTTAGGCTGTATATTATGTCCTTGTAATTACTTCTTCTCTACACGCAGAATGGAAAAAAGCTATTCAACAATGGAGAATGGGTATTTCAATCCACAAGTCACTAACTGATAAATCACTTTTTGTTCCATAAAACACAAGGCATGGCACCTGAACTACATTTACTTTGACTAAAAATGAGTAATTCATGGAATGAAACAGAGAAACACTTTGATTTGAGACATGGTTTATGCTCATTACCTCTGGTTGCAGAAAGTTTCCAGTGCTTTTAAGGACAATTCACAACATCACTGTTTAGTTCTCTCTGTCCTTCATCTAAATAGGCCCCTATTTGTTTTTATTACACGTCATAAAGTGTAAATCACAGTCTCACTAGTTTATTGAAATCTTCTGAGCCTGTTTATCTTAAAAGTTCCATTAAACCATCTGCTGAAAGTCTCCTCTTCAGCCCAAAGCTATAATCCATCATGCAGAATTCAGCAGGGATGTGTTGACTCTGATAACTGACAGAAACTTCCTTCTCAGGTAGCATTTGAATTACAACACTGGTGTATTTTTAATCTGAGGATCAAGTCATAGTTTGCAGAGATTTTTACAAGAGCAACATTGTTGACATTCAAATAGTAAGGCATATTTTCACATCCATTCTGAACGTATGAGGAAAAATTAATTTTTTTCTGAATATTAGCAAAGCCTGATTCTTTTTGGATTGGATAAAACTATGTAAACTATACATGATTATAAACTATGGATACTATATATTTACTAAAGCTGGAAAAGGGAGTATTTCCCTTTTCTTCAAAGCCTTTGTTAGTTTTTGTTTGACTTTATTCCACCACTTTACATCAATAATATTGGTTTCCTGTCAGTAATAATCATAAAGTTAATCACCTTGTGACATCAGATTTGAGTTTTTCTTAAATGCTGAGGACTCACCCTGCCATCTGAGCAGCTGGTAACCTCACATTAAATGTTCAGAAGAACTTTACAAATGTTATGTATAGAGAACAAATATTGAAAATAAAATGCACTGTGATGCAAATATTATTTAAAGACATAAATGGCTCCAATGTGCCAAATAAATAAAGACCCTGAAGGGAAGTAGATGGACTGTCTTCCAGATCAGCTGCAGCATGTGAAATTCTTGTAATTTGTATATTCTCAACATAAAAAACACTGTATGGTTGAGAGTGCATTGTTAGTTGTAAGCTTACTTTACGTTTCACAACTTCAAAGTTATTTTTATGTATTAGAGGAGCATCAGAAACTATTGTGAATTTACTATAATGGAAACGCTCAACTTGGTTTTAAATGTCTCTATAATGCTTTGAAGAAATGAATAGCAAGTACTACATGCAGTTCATTCTAATTATAGCCTTAAACTTATTAAGATGGGATACCAAAGGGCTTAGTTATTGCTTGATGAATGAACTTGTAATTAAAAACTGAAAAAAAAGTGTGAGGCTTAGCAAATGGGAAAAGTCAGTGTCACAGATTAGAGGGTGCTGATGACGGACAGGTCTTGGGTCTATGACTTGGATGAGTGGCTTTAGTTTAGATGATACAACACGCCCTCCACCGAAAGAGACATGATATTTATTCTTCTTACACCATCTTATCTTTTAACAAGTGCACTTCTCTTAGGGGTCACATGCTTTATCGCAGAATTTTGGCTTCTAATTCAGAACCCATGGGTATCATCTGCTTTCTACCCATGCAACATGCTGAAATGGTCTGTTTGGTTAGGGGAAGTTCAGAAGCAATTACCATCTTGGTTTTATATTGAATTGAATCCCCAGTGTCCCTGTGTTGTTTGACAAATTCATCATCCCCTGACTGCCACTCTTTCCATGCTGTCTTTCTTGATCTCTTTCTGTCACCCAGAACTGTTGCTATGAGAGTCTAATATAACTACAGATAGATTTACATATTTTTGATGTATGTTGTATTAGTGTGATGCAGACACTGAACAGAACCATATTCATCTGTATCAAACACAGCTGTCAAAGCCTATAATATTTGAGAACTCTGTCTGCAGTAAATCAGTTGTGTTCTTAATGCAGATAGTTGTAATTTCAGGTGGAATTATTTACTTCATTTTACAAATTTACAACAAACTAAAAAAGGCAAGTCCTTCCTTTTTAGTAAGTAAAAATAAACAACCAACAATAGTTAAAGTGACTTTAAGTCATGCAGCACTCAACATTTGTTTACTTACTCTGCTGATCAATCCTACATTGCCTGCTATCCCACAATGCCTTGAGTGTGGATTCCCTGGATCCCCCATTGCATGATGCTTAATAAATAATTAGTCGGTAAACCCCTCTCTTCTACAATACATCGTCTAGAATTCACCTCTGTTTACCAAAAGATCGAGAAGAAATGCTTCAAAAGAGAGAGAAATCAGGCTGGAGAGAGCCAGAGGCCGTGTATGCCAGCGTTAATGATAATAACTCAAACAAACCTGCAGGTTGAAAACTCTGCAGAGCTTAATGGCAAACATTAGACTGCCTCAGGATGTATGGACGGGTATTGCTCCTGTATTGCATGGTGCTTTCTCTCTCTCTCTCTCTTTCTTGCTTGTTTGTGCGTGTGTGTGTGTG